GAAGGCCCCGCCAGGCCAGTTCCGCGCCGCCCTACTCCCCTGTCCCCCCCGTCCCGTATCCCGTCCAGCCGCAGTACCCCCAGCCGCAGATGATGCGACCGCCGCCTGGGCAGTTCGCGCCGCCCTACACGCCGGCCCCTGCTGTCCCGTATCCCGTCCAGCCGGCCTACCCGCCCGGGGTGGGCTATGGAGGGGGGGCCCAGCCTCCCGTAGGGGGACAGCCGCCCTATGGCTACTACAATATGGCCCAGCCCCCGGTCAACCTCTCGCCGCTACAGCCAGGGTACCGGTACTAAAACGCCCCTACCGACGCCCCTTGTTGGGTCACCAGGGCGAAAGGGGGGGGGGGCCCCCTCGCCCCACCCGCACGCGTGGGCCGCAGGGGTGCCTGCCATCCCCCTGCGTGAAGGATCGGTCAAAGCCCCTTCCGATGTCGCTTGTTCTTATTGAGAACAACACTTTTTAAGGTAATTTAGCGTTTTTGATGTAGTTTTTTTTTTTTTTGATTGGCTACGCGTTAACTCGAATTAGGTCGTTGTTGCTTGAGGGGGAGGGTTGTGGTGGTGATGAAAGTGCTATGGTTTAAATGGTGTCGGGGTATAGATGTATATACCTCTTTGCTTTCCCTTTTAAAATGCCAAGAGTAAACGGTAAATCCTACAAAGGTGTTAAACTTTCTTATTTTTATGGTGTGTGAGTTGGATGATGTGCTATTTCTCGCTAATTTTTTTGGCTCCCTGTCTTGTGAAAAGAACATGGATGTTGAAAAAAAAAGAATGTGTTTGAGTTACTTATTTTTTTTTTACATTATCAGAAGACATATATGATGATGGAAAATGTTTTTTTTTGCTGTCCCACCCGCACCATCATTATCCATATGGACGTGGTTTTCATGCGAGGATACATTTACATTCTCTACTTGCAAATATAAACGTCTTAAAAAACACCATATATGGGCGGCTAAGAATTTCGGAATAGTTAGTTGAATTGACTAATAAATATCAATTATCATGTTATTTTTTTCTTTGAGTCCTCAACTTGTCTACTTTGGATGGAAATAAATGCGAGGTAATCATTTTGAGGTTTGTTTCTTGTCAATGGGGATTACCATGAGTTCCTGCATTTGATAGCTTATTCTTCCTTTTCTCACGCAAAATTTTATTTTTTACTTTCTTGTGTATCTAAGGCTATCCATCAATTGGCTTATCAAAAGGTCATATTATTATATTCCTTGTGATTAATTTCAGAGCAAAAGGGCCATCCTTAGCAAAAATATCATTATCAATCAACGGCATGCCTTTGGGTAAAGGGGGTTATAGTGTCTCCGCTAGACGCTACATGGTATGGCTGAGAGGGGTCTTGCCCAGCAACATCTCCATGGGAGGATATCTCTGGTGAAGGACATAAAGGGGATGGCTCTGGTGAGCCGACGACGCGATGCAATTTACTTTGGATCTGATTTTTTTAGCAAATAGTGCGCGAAACACGTTGTTTTTGTCAGGCATAGCCACTGTATTCGTTTACAGTGTGTACAATAAACGGTATTAATCGGGATGGTAGTTCATTACCAGCATCAAGCTCTCGTTCGTGATGCTGTGAAGGGGCCGACGAGATTGTCTTGCATAAAAGTGGAGGGAGGGGGGTTAGTGACACACAATGGTAGGAGCTATCATATTATCTCCTCCTTACTGAAGCCTAAATAAGGGGTGAGCGTGATCTCAAAGGATGGTCCTGGATATCAGGATCTAACTACCCGCCTTTGGAAGTGCCCCACCGCTTTTATTTTATTTTGGAGCTTTATTGGTGTCCATCAGCGTACGGGGAAGCGTGACCAAAGTGCACACGACGCGGATGATGTTGCAATGATCCTTGCTATCTTCTTTTATTCTGGACAATAGGACCTATATGTGAACGTGAGAGTTTGCTTATTTTGATTAGTTGTTCCTATACCTATCCTACCCCTCGATGGATTGTTGGCATCAACTTTGCGGCTATTTTTTTCCTTGCTACTAGGCTATTTTTGCTTGGTAACACCAAAAAATCATGTGTTCTGTGCACTGTCAGAGATTTCGCTTTCTTATAAAATTGCGTTATCATGTATCCCAGAGCTACCTCTGTGACAACTGTTTCATATTCTCATTTAGGTGATTTTTCTCCATTAGTTAAAGTATTTCCCTGCTGTGCACCGGCACAGCGCCTTAATTGCTCGTTGCGACAATTTGGTGTCGTAGATCAGGAGCTAAAATTGTACTATTATTGTTTTTTTTGATCATTTGCTGTACCATATAAAAAGTTGTGAATAGAGATTTGGCAGCAAAGCACATGCAAAGTGATTGTGAATCGGTTCTTTTTTTCGAAGAAGAAGGGACGGAGTCGATCTCGCAGCAGCATAGCTTTCAGAACCCGAAGAGTGCCGGGCCGACTTCTTCCTCCGCCGCCCATGCCAAACCACCATCCCAAAACAACGCCTCGCCGGAAGGGGATTCGTCATTAACGAAGCCCCCTGCGCAGGAGCCGCCCTCCAAAGACCCTCATGCTTCCAACCACACCGTACCTGGTGGGGGGGGCACTCCCAAACCCCCTCCAGGAAACCGCCTTCCCACCGTCGCGAGCGTGGAATCGCTCAGTTTCTACGTCGAGGATTCGATTCCGTTGTCGACGCCGCCGCTGAAACCTGCCTCCCGCGCTCCCCCGCGATCTCGGCAGCGTCGCTCCACCAACAGCAGCATCGCCTTCGCGTTGGAGACGCCGTTGGAGGCCTCGCACGCGGCCCGCCCGCCTTCCGGCGTCGATCAAGCGAGCATCGCGGGATCTCTCACGAATGGCAGCATCGCGTTTATTTTCACGGAAGAAGAGGAGCCCCCACGGGCGCCCCCGCCTCCGCCTCCGCCTCAGCCTCATCCGCAGTCCCGTTCGCTTCGTCATGACCTCACCCAACGCAGCACCTCCGGCGACGGCGACGACAGCGTCGCCTTTCAGATCGAGGAGGAGGAGAGCAACCGGAGCAACCCCCGCCGTCGCGGGCCCTCCATCAGCGTCGAGGAGCGGAGCATCGACTTTCGCGTGCTCGACGACGAGGC